TAAGAGTAATAAATTCAGTGATATGTAAGTTTATCAATGAAAACGATATTATTTAATAACCTTTGTCTTCGTTAAGCTGCAACTTGAAATTAATTTACTTATCTACAGGTTAAAATAAATACATTGTTTATACAGTATACTGTTATAAAATTTTATAAAGTTGAATTAGATTTGCATAAAAAGAACATAATCAATTATCTTTTCTGTTTAGTTCTGTTTTAGAAGATTGGTTTTCTACGGGATGCAGTCGCTAGCCCTATATGTCAAACCCTCTTCCTTTATTCGGGATCAGAGCTGGCTGCAATCCTGAAAAGGGATCCGAGCAGAACGTCAAGACTGTTCTATTGTATGGAGCTGAGGCTTGGAGGATTCCATCCATCCATCATCTGTAAGATACAAGTGTTTATTAACAGTTTTCTATGCAAGATACTCTAGATTCAATGATCAGAAATCATCAGCAACAATCCCCAGTGACAGAGAATAAATCAGCTTTCAGTTTACCAAAGAAATTGAGAAAAAGCGCTGGAACTGGATTGAACACATATTTTGGAAATCACACAACGACATCACAAGGCAAGCTCTAACTTGGAACTGTCAGGGTCGAAGGGAAAGAGTTAGACCAATAACCATATTTCACCAAGAATTGCAGATAGAGATGAAAAGACTGAATAGCAATTAGGTCGAACTGGCAAGGTATGCCCAGGGCCGAGTAGGTTGAAAGATTCACTTAAAATCAGTAGATTATTAGAATCTCTTTTGAAATACTAGCTAACAGCTTACCATATTACCATTCACTTTATTTTCTACTGTTTGACATGTAAGTCAAATATCCATTTCCTCTGAATGAATGGAAAACTTACAGTCTATTGTTGTGGTGATTTTTTTCACTTATCGGTTGGTAGATATTGTAAATATGTAAACAAGTTATTCACATATAGAATCATAAAAAAAATATTGCAACCTTTTGTTACATCGAAAATGTCCATATCTTTATTTGTCATCTAAATGTATATACTTTCCCTTTTTTGTTATCATTGTAACACATAATCTGCTATGTGAATAGAATTCATTCCATGTTTTACATTGACAATTGAACAAAACAGCTTGTTTATTCACTTTTCCGTTTGATTATCCATTTGAAAATCACTTACCGCCATCACATTACAATTATTAATGAATGAATGATTTGTTGTTGCATTGTGACACTATTATAATCAGATAATTGTCATTTAGCCATTAAAAGAAAGAGAGAGAAAAAAATCCGAATATCAGTTACATATTCAATAAGATCTTTCTTTTCGTTTTGTTTAAATCAATGAAAATATTATTGTTAGGAAAATGATATTTAGTTTGATAAACGTTATCAAGGACTGATTAGGAATAATTACGCTGTTATTATTCTTCTATGGTACTTTAGTACTAATGGATATTTTCATGGAAAAGTTCAGATTTATGCATAATGAGATTACATGGATGACGAAAGCTATCTATTACCTCATTTGGTAAGCAAATATTCAAAGATAATATCACTAATGAAGAGAAACGATATTCATAGGAAGTTTCCAACCGGAAATTGACAATCCACACATAAACATTGAATTACAAAGTGTAGTCCTCTGACAGACGTTGATGCACCTCTCAACAGTCCACACTAAACAATAAAACTTTAAAGTAAAAAAGACTTCTGGGTTGATTCATTCAAATTTCACGCGATTTTCCGTTTCAGATGGCGCTGAAGTATTCCGTAGTAAGATATAATTAAGAAATCCTATCAAATGTCTATGATAGTTGTACCTCTAGAGGTATGTACAACTGGTTGTGACATAAGGAGATAAAGTTCCTACTGACTAAAACGTTCCTTCCTAACCAAAAAGGATTCGATAGTCGATGAGTACGTTTGTCTAGTTGAACCACTTCAATATCATTGAGAATGATTATTAATTCAATATCGATACTGCATCGAACTTAGCATTGCTTGACCAGACAAAATTGTATTAGGATCACACCAGCAATAACTTTCCTCAAGTCGATGGACGGTCTGAATCTAAGTTACTCTTCACTCCAACCTATTTGTAAGAAGCAATTTCAGTTCAATAGAGGAGCGTTTAATCCACAGGACTTTAGCGCCACTAATACCTCTAAGTGATGAGTATACAGGAAGACAATAACACAGGGTATCCACAAAGTAAGCCTATGATATAAATTAAATCTAGGGCATATTTGAATAGTTTTCTGTAGCCAGCACTGAATATATGAATTTGACGAGAATAAACAGTTGCCGCTTTGTCCTATGTAGTATTTTTTACAGTCTGAGAAGTTGATTATGTAGATAATATTTGGTTTTCCTTCTTCAGTCATTTTATCCTTTGATTTACACAAGCCCGATTGGAGCGATTCTCTCATTTTATATTCTGCAACTATTCTAAATGGTTTCAGTAGTCGTGCTGTTTACTCCGATATGTCTTTTATGTATGGCTGGATGATCCGTTTATTAGTTCGCTTCTGCAGATGGTTTCAGTTGGCACATTTTTGGAAGAAAATCATAAGAAAATTTTCTTTCTTCTGTCGGAAGTTTGCGCTGATGATGCTGTTCAGAAGAACTTACGACAGCTTCACAATATTAGTTAGCTTTTAATCGTTTTTATGAATAAAAATGAGCTTGAAATAATAACGTGAAAATTCGATCAATGAAGTGATTTGTGTAGATTCTTTTTGGCTATTCCGTTCATTTTCTTAAATAATATTTGTAAATAACTTTCATTTGTAGTGAAACTTAACTTTACAGAATAATAATTACTACTCATGTTTCTGTGTGAATATTAAAAATTCACATGTTCTATACTAGAACTAGATGCAGATGTGAAAATAGCTGACCAGCCAGAACATATTATAAGTTAGTGATAATAACGAAGAGAATTATTTAACTCAAGAAAATATATAGAAGTGGGCAGTTTTGTAACAGGTTTACTAGTATGAATAAGAGTGATGACTTTAGTCAACGTGTCATAATGAACGTTATCCGAGATCTGGCACTAGTACGCATCACGCTACACAATAAGCCCTCTATTGATCACTTGAATGAAAAGAAAAGAATGAATGAATTTGTTTACTGAGTTACCAAATACGCGAATAAATACTAATTCATATATATATTTACATTTCTATCCCTTAGAAAGTGGATCGATTTCCTAACCAATGGAATGGTCTTGATATATCCGAAAAGCACCCAGTAACCTCATACTGCAACTTCTGATTGGCTCACTGTACCGGAAAGCAGATCGAAAACTTAAAAAAATAGACAGTGAGAACATTCAGTAAAAAAGCAATAAAATCATGAATGACCATCAGTAAATAAATATATGGTATTCTGTCATAGTTTCACTTTCTAGTCTGGTTGGCTTGATTATGGAGCTTCAGTTATTGTTCTGAATAACACCAGTAGTACCTCACATACATTTGAGTGTATTTTTGTTTCATTTAGTTAAGACCTTTAGACTAATTAATCAACGCTTCGTATGCGTCTTCTGATTTATACGTTGTTGAACGTTATCTGATAATTGTGGCAATGTTTCGTTCTGTGAGCTGGTTATCAGGACGAACAGTTTACAAAGTCCAAGAATATATCGAATACCGACCACCACAGAATTAGTAATCCCACGCCCACACACACACGTCCAACTGTCTCTTGAGAAGCTGGGATGCACACTATCTGCCTTTCCGAAGCCCGTGTTGAGCTACTTACAGGATTTTATTCTCACAGTATTGGTAGTATTGAGACTGGTCTCTAACAGGCTAGATCCTTCCTGTCTCCTCTTCTGAAGACTGGAGAGAGAGTAGCTTGTTTCCAATCGGCTGAGAGTTGGTGTGACTCCGATGAATGCCTGAATAGGTCACTGAGGGCTTCTGCACTGTTTCGAGACTATAAGGCGAATAATGTTACATCCTGGTGACATTACTAGGCACAAGGATTTTACTTGTCTTAGTACTAGATGGGGGCGTAATTCAAAAATTCTCTGGGCCATTAAGTGGTAATAGGTTTGAGTAGTACTTTTGAAGTATCGGAACTTTGTCATTTGGTCTATAGGTTATTCTTTTGGTCATGATTTTGATCGGATACTTAGGATTCGCCTGTATTTTGACGGGTTGCTTCATCTGAAATCACCTTCTGTCACTTCGAAGTTTGGTACTGCATATGTTTCTCAGTGCCAAGTAAGAACTACTGTTAGAATCCATTAGAGAGACCTTCTAATTGTACCAGGCCCTCCTTTCTGCCTGTAGCAATTGTTCAGTACCTGGCTTATTCCAAGTTCTTCTTTTTCGAGGCATGTAGTGTGCCTGAAGAACATTGTTTAGGAAAGCATTCTGGATGAGTTCCCTTTTTGTCAATGTTCATCTACAGTTAGCCTCCACCAATTCTGTTGTCATCGGGTATGTAGAAGATGTCCTCTGATGCACGGCTCATTTGCCCTAGTGTAGCGAAGCTAGGGCTCGTTTTCGTCCTGCCTGAATGCTTCCTTTATGACCATTTTAAACGAGACTGAGCCATGGTCACTATTTCCTACTGGTGTATGGATCTGAACATTCAGGACCAGGACCGGTAAATCTCTCCAATCAAGTATCTCGAATTATTTGTGATGAAACAACATCAGCATGATTCTGTCACCTCGGTCAGTTGAGTGCCGTATAGTCTTAGGGCTTTAAAATGGCTGGTAATGTACATAGCCAAACCGCATCTTATCCCATTCACTCTATCGCACCGGGAGTGTGTAATGCCTTGCAAGCTCACCTCACTGTCAGCACTGTCGAGGGAATAGCCTTGTTTTAGTGAAATTTATTATCTTCAGATACATCTGAGTATGAATACACAAAGACGCGGAATAGGTATAAAAAGATCGTAGAGAGATCTCACATCAAGTACGAAAGAAAGCTGACATAAGACAGTCGAAGTGGCCAGAAACGGTTGTTTTCACACTGTAAACGAAATCATCGTTTACACACATTGAACGTTGAAGGTCGCTCCGAATATTCAAGTTCCGCGTTACATAGTTGTTAGTTGGCAGCCGAGTATGAGTGATGAACTAGTACTGTTAGATGCACAATGTGCTTTTATTCTGGGACAAAATCAACTAGCTCTCAAAACAATTCAAAAGCTAAAAGTAATGAGCGCATTCATATTCTAATTTTAATAAAGTCGAGTTCTTCAGAAATCGAATTACAAGCTCATGTGCTTACATATCAAGTATACATAGCTCAGAAAATGTATGGAGTTGTACTGGACGAAATTCCTGAGGATACTGACGAACCAGAACTGAAGCTACTTAGGGTCATGGCGAAGTATCTTTCAAAAGCTGTATCTGAGTATGTCTTTATTCTATTGGTAATAGAGACAATTTATAATTTCCTATCCATTTGTAGCAAAATCACTTTAAAAGAACTAGAAATGATATTAGAAAAACAGGTGAATTTGAGTCAAAATTTGATAATCATCGCAGCAACTATTTATATCCATTTAAACGTAAGCCCTAATTTTTTTAGTGTTACTTTAGATGTTGGAATGTGCTTTAAAAATCTTAAATAATGGAAGTGACACATACTGGTGAGTTTTCGTCGTACAATCTTATTTTGTTGTTAATTGCTATCAGATAGGCCAGTATCTGGTGTGTAATGACCATTAGAGATCAGAGCTTTAAAGACAAATCACATTTTTCTCCAGGTACTGCAAATAAGGCAATGCACTCACATGACTTAAACTTTATTCATTTTGGACACGACAAATTCACGTTTCTAAGTGTGTAATTCTACGTTAGGTTAGTTTACCGACAATAGGGTTGTCTTAAGATTTATTGTAGTATTTGAGATAAGTTTGGTATTTACAGAGGTTAGATTTATGCATTACTTCCTACTCTTACTTTATCTTCTATTCGAAAGTAACGATTTCCATTTCCTTACTCGTTTCCCTTGATTTGTTCTCTAGCCTATATGTTTCTCGCTCATACCGACACAAGGTATGAAATAGTATTATTTGCAAAACTCCTGGTTTGGGAAGCAACCGTAAAAATCTACTCAATAATTGATTTTTTAATGGATGCTTGATAAACTAATACATTTAAGAAAATTTCCATTTCTAGTTTTCTGGATCAGGTGAAGATTGGGCTGAAATATATATGATACTGTGGTCCTAATTGTTTAACGCCTTGACCTAAGAATCCGAGGACGACATTGCAAGTATCTGTACCATGTTTTTCCGCCTTTTGCGTCTGAAGCATTTTAGTTAGCTGTTATCGTTTTTCATTGACTTGGAATTATTGTGACTGCAAAAATATGCAACTACAAACTATCATGGCTGACTAGTCCGTTTACTTTTCTCGCTATAGTCACAGAAACTTAAGACTAATTTGTTTTGTTTTTTATGCCTGACTAAACCTATGTTTTTAGGTTGATATTTCTTAGCGTATATAGCGATCTCCAGGAAAGTTTGATATATATATATATATATTCTTCATTTTAGCAATGCTTTGACAGTTCAATGCCTACTGCATATGAATCGTTGTGATCTTGCTGGTAAGGCTGTCCGACGTATGCAGACCGCAGATGAAGATTCTCTAGCGGCACAACTTACTGCAGCTTTATACTACGTGAAAAAGGTATGTTCCCAACTTTATTATCATTATTATCGTTAAAAAAATACATGCGTTGTACTTTCGTATTTCTCTCTAAAATTGATTTTTTCAGGGCGGTGATCAGCTGCAAGAAGCCGTTCATATTTATGAAGAACTCAAAGAAAAACATGGACCTTCAACCTTACTTTTAAATGGTCAGGCCGCGGCTTTGATGGGTATGAATAATTGGGTTGAAGCTGAGCCGATTCTTCAGGAAGCTCTTGATATGGTAAGTATATCATTAATTTATTTTTTGGTATTCAAAAACCATCCACTAAAAGACAAATTAGACAAACAAAAATGTCCTCCTAGATAGTTTATAAAGATGACTTCTCGAAAATAATCGCCATCTTTTTTATTCTTTAGATAGTTGCGATTTTACACCACACTGATTCTCACCAATTTCGTTATAAAGTACAGTATCCTTGAAAGCTTTACTGTGCAAGATTCTTTGTGTTCTCTTAAATTCTAATTTTCTGAATTCCTAATCATCGCTATCTTTCTCTTTCTAAAGTTATCTTGCCGAATTATACTTCTCGAATCATATCTTCGAACCCTAATCTTCCCCATTACTGCTACTATCTTTATCGCTCTTGGATTTGAACTAACAGTTGCGTCTCTGTGCTGATGCGGTATGGTAGCCTGAACGTATGTACTCATGTATGAAGTTTCACGTCGTAACTGACTGGTTGACTGCAAGATTCTTTTATGTATCTATCTTTGATTGTCAAATGTATATTGAGTACTTTCGTGTAAGTTTTTATTTTACTTGGCATCTCTGTCAGGCACACTACATAATATTGTTAGTACCTAGCTATGACTTTTCATCTATTCCCAAAGATATGTTATTGCTTTAACGCTATGCAAACTATTTTTACCAAAGAGAATCTATCTAATATATCATATTTATACTTACTTGTTACATTTTCTAGGATGGTAACAATCCAGATACAATTGTAAATATGATTGTAGTCAATCAACATTTAGGAAAACCTGTTGAGGTAAGAAACTCAGTAATAAATCTTAACCAACCATTATTTTTTTTATTGAATAGTCTATCAACAGATTAATATCTCAACTACGAGATTGTTGTAAAGATCATCCATTTCTTTTGGATTATGCACAAAAGGTAAAATGAAATTGTCCAGTTTGAAAAATTAATTAATTTAATTATTTTTTGGTTATTTTATATAGGAAGATGAATTTACACGTTGTGCACAACATTATGCTCCAAGTGTACCAGGATAGTGTGATTGATTTTTTTTGCTTTACTTTTGTACCATTCGTCAATAACCGTGATAATTTTTATCTGTTTACTTACTTTTTTTGTCATTTGGTCTAAAATAAAGTGGTGCCAATTATGATTTCATTTTGTGTTATTCATTATCTGTTTTTTTTTGCGGTCTTGACCTTTTTTTGTTATTCCTAGGATGTTGTTTTAAAAATTGCAAAAAT